AAAAGTATTTGGGTTAATGCTCCAGGCTCCTTTCAAAGTTCACAGTAGGGTACCCCCTATGAGTGCCTCTGCATCCCTCCATAAAATGACTTGGTATTTAATTTTGCCGGAGTTGACAGTTGGCATCTACCTACTAAAATTATCAGAAGTCGGATTCAAGTGTAGTTTAACAACTCCATAGCCTTGGTATACAGTACAGTGTTTAAACAAATAAGAACTCATACTTGTGCAAGTGGATGAGATGAGTCTTCATATTTAAATCATTTTACATTACTGAATGCCATGTAAAGTTAAAAAGAACTTTCCTAAATTTGTCTATAAAAATTCTTAGATATATTAAAATTGAAAAGTTGCATTTCAGCTCTATTTTAATTTCAGGTTTGAAAGCAGATTGTTGTTTACATAAAGTACAAAAATGTCAAAGCAAAAGTGTTTAAGTACAGTACTACTGTAAAAATTAATGTGTTGCAGGAAGTTGATTAAAGCTTAACCCTTGTGCAAATAAGCTATTTTGATAACACAAACAGATATTAATGCAAAAATTTTTTAATCTTTAATGTTTATACAAAAGAAAAAGTACAGGTACATGCAAGATTTGCTGTCATAGGACTTAACAGAACTGATAAACATTTTTGTTTTATGTTATTGTTATTTTGAGCTTCATTATTAGTACAAACATGTCTTTTTATTAATCCTTTATATTAAATAAAATGTGTTGGCATAATGTACACTTTTTTCTACATTTTCAGCCAGTGCCAAATTTACATGTTTCTACTCCATACTCCATAGGCCAAAGCACATAATTCTGCACTCCCTCCCCCTTCAGAAAGTTGATTTATGTTTTTCAATTTAATATGTAATAGTAATAACGTAATTTTGTATTAAAATAATGGTAAAAATTGATAATAATTAGTAATAATAATAGTATATGGGTGTGGCGGTACAAATTTCTGAAAACTGATTAATTTAAATATAAAATAAACATTATAAAAACTAAACATAAACTTACTTTTTAATGTCTAACATAAACAAAGTTATAAAATGTTAAAATGTCAGCACCAGTAGAATTGTCACAATATAATGTTTGGTAAGTTTTATTTTGCATGTTCATGAAACAGTGACACCCTGGTTATTAAACTCCTCTGCCATTATTAAATTTGGTTATTGACCTCTCCCATTATTAAATTTTTTTGCATACCCCTAAATCACTAAGCACATACTCCTAGGATAACATATACCCCCAGTTGGGAATTGCTGGTTTATTAGTAATGTATGAATTAGCATACCTATGTTGTTTTTGAACAAGTTCAGTGGTTATTGTTTGCAGTGTTTGTATCAGTTACAAAAAATGTTATTTATGAAAAAATTTACTATTTTTGTTACATAAAAGGTATGTGGAGTTTGGACATTTGTTCTCATTTATATAAATGTTTACTAAGTTTATTATATCATTGTAGCATGTACTGAAGAGGGGTTAAAGCCTAAAATGCATTTACAATAAGAGTGGAAATAAAATATTTTGGATGACATTCTTGTCTGCTTAGTCCTTTTAAGTCAGAAGAAATGTAATTGTTCACGTCGAGTTTTGAAAAATACATATTTTAATTCCCTAAATTTACAATGTACGAGGTATTTCTAGATTAATCAATGTTATGACTCGATCCATAATATTGAGATTTAAAGTCCTTTACTGGTGTTGAATTAAGATTTTTAGTGTTTGATTTTGGACTCAGAAGTGCAACATAGAATTCAATGTGGATGGTTGGACTGGAGGAAGTAAAGCAGTGTGTTATGTGAATAGAAAGTTAGCTGCAAACTGAAAGGTAAATTGTACAAATTGGTTGTTAGACCTACAATGTTATATGAGGCTCAGATCACAAGTGCCCAAGAAAGAAAGATGACAGTGGCAGAAATGAGATGGATGTGTGGAGTGTCAAGGAAGGATAGAATAAAGAATAACTTTATTAGAGGTTCTGTTAAGGTGAGTCACTTAAGCAGAAAGATGCAAGAATGCACATTGAGGTGGTTTGGCCATGTAGAGTGAAGTAGTGAAGATTATGTCAGAAAGAGGGTTGGAAACTGGTTGTAAAAGGAAGGAGGAAGAGAGGAAGACCAAGGCTGCATTGAAAAGATAAGGTGGAGGAAGACTTGAATCAGAAGGGACTTAAGAGAAGACACCCTTGATAGGAAAATGGAGGAAACATATTAGAGAAGAAAATGCTGACCTCATATAAACATGGGGAAAAGACAAAGATAAAGAAGAAGTGTTTAATTTTAAACATACTTTGAGGGACGTTCATATATACTGTTGCATTGAATTCTGGCAATTTTTATACCCCCACTATGCTATAACATTCTGCCACAGATAATTACTGCCCCTCAAAAACTAACACTTATTACATACCACATATCCTTCCCTTTCTGATAATGAAATCATTTAAGTGTTTGATAAAAAAAGCAAACAAGATGTCTTATTGCACAAACACTGCTAGATATGTTACAATACTAAACTAAGACTTTCTGTTCAAAACACATATTGATGACATCTATCACAGAAATTTGACTAGTTGATGAACAATTTATAAGAACTATAACATTAGTTCTCATATGGTCTTCATACAATCAATCTACCTCTTCTGCTCCTCCAAAACTGTTCATCAGAATCATGAGTTTTCTTTGGTCAAAACTTGTTGTACTCGTTTGGATATTACTACACTTCCTCACTGGCCTATCCTTGCTTGCAGCTTCAATCAGTGCAGTTACATTTCTTGTACGCTCAAACATTCCAATGTTTCTTTACTGAGAAGCAAAAGATATATGACACTGCCTTAAAATAAGCTAAATTATACAAACACACTTTTTGTATGTTTCCAGCATTAATTAACTTTACACACTGAACAAATGTTTTCAGCTTGATTTACAGGCCTGTCTCAGGTTAGAAGTTATCCAAAGATGATAGTTATGTTGCGTTCATAAGGGGAATAATTCAAAGATTCTGCAACGTTATTTAAAATTCTTACATTGTAAGTCAGTATTTTTAAATTCAAATAAAATTAAAACTTACTTTTGGATAATAATGTAAAATAACTTACAATAAACATTAAGCACATGGAAGTGGATGGTTAATGATATACTATTGTTTGTTATAAGTTTAGAGAGTAATACTTGCCATGTTTGATATGTTGATGCTTCCTTTATTGTTAATGCAAAGATCTTGGCTTAAAGATGGTTTATAGATGTCAATGGCTTCAATTATTCTTAATTTCTGTACATTGCATATGCTTCTAACAGTTTGGTATCTCTCCAACATGAGACACTCAGGGTTTGTTTGCTTATGGGGCTAAGACAGTGTTATAACTAACTTTTAGCACGTGATACTTATGCTCTTTTAATCTGGCCTCTGTCAGTCCGTTAGTTGAGACTAGAGTTTCTCATTTTCTGGATTTTTGCTTGTCCCCGGGATTCCGAGAAAAAGTAAACTGTTTCCTGGGATTCCGGGATATAATTAATTATTTTTGAGATATAAAATAAATCTTAAAATCAAATGATATAATTAGTTTTCATTTTCAAGTAACTTAATACTTCTTGCAACCTCCAAAATATTACTATTAATAATGCTGTATAAAATATGTATTAAAAATTACTTTTGAATTACATAGAAATTTCCACAAATACAAAAAATTTATTAAAGTTCTTGAAACTGCTCACAACAAAATTGTCTTTGAATTGAGTTTAAAATTTAAACAAACAAAATGAACTTAGATCAAACTTCTAACTTAAAAGGTAATTTTCGTTTTTCAAATAAAACATATTATAAAAATTTACAATAATATTTTGTATTAAGATTTTAAAAAGCAGAGATGGTTGATATTCCAATCACTCAACGTAGTTCCTATTGTAGTAACGAAAAGTCCTGCTACCGAGAATGCCCTTTCCGATTCAACTGATGTGAGTGAAATCATTTTTAACGCATTTAAGAGAAGACAGATGTTATGTGTTTTCTCACCTGTAGCCTCAAAAATTTCTAGTTCATTTTCAAGATGCATTGTAGTACTTCCTTTGCTCTCTAGTATTCTCGATTTGTCTACCTCGGCTGCTTTAATAGCGGCATCGAGTTTATAGCCCAATAATTTGACAATTTGTTTGGCTTTAACGATCAGGTTTATGAAGAAAAACTTGATACGTTTGTATCCTTGCCCAATTTGGCATAATGCAGTTATTGAGCACGGTTAAAAATTAAGACAGCGTAAGCACAATTATTCCAGATATTACAGGTTCCGACAAGTAAAGAACTTTTGGAGTCCCGTCACAAGTAAGCTACATATTGATTATTGACAATATGTGACGTACCATAATAAGCAAAAATTTAAACTAATAAGCGGGCTTAAAATTAATAAATACAAATGTACTCTGACAGTTTATGGGTTCATTATACTTTCTATTTGCAAAATTTTTTCAACTTTAACACAAAATAAGAAAAAAGTGAATTTTTAAGAAATTTGCGGGATTTCACGAGTTAAAAAACCCTAGTGTCGGCCTAACGCTCCCGGGAAGAGAAAAAAAATCGTTGGGGACACGGTATCCCGAATTCGGCCAAACGTATTTAAGAGGAGAAAAAGCGATAACCGCGAGACGTAGATTGGAAAAGACAAAAATAAAGTTGGGATAGAAATATAAAATTAGGAAGTGGTTAACGGCAGGGAATTAAAGTCGCACGTTTGACGTTTCGATACACTTCGAATGTACGTGTGTTCGCACCGAGAGGGTCAAAAGAATTCTTTCAGATTAAGCAAATTCGAACGGCTCAGAGGTCGCCGCCGTCGATTTCATCGATCGCCGGAAATTACCCTTTAATGGCCACGAGTCATTCGGCGTTTTCCCCCAATATTTCGGGCATCCCACCGGAATAAAAGCACTTTTTTGCCAATTATCGGCGCGGCCACCCGGGGACCTCCGTCGCCCCCCAGCGCGGAGACGAGAGGAGAAAGAGAAAGACGGACCTGTTTGGAGTCGACCTCGATGTCGGCCACGTAGTTTTCGAAGACGGTGGGAACGTACACTTCCGGGAACTGGTCCTTGCTGAAAACGATGAGAAGACAGGTCTTGCCGCAGGCTCCGTCCCCCACGATGACCAATTTCTTCCGAATGGCCGCCATGTCGACGACAGAGGAAAAATCCGAACGGATCGATCCGGAAGAGACTTTCCAAGATGGCCACCGCCAACGCCTCCGGCCACCTGGCGACTCGACCTTTCTAAACGTCCGGGATAATTTTAGCGGAAAATCTCGGCGGAAGACGGGCGGCGCCCGTACGACCGAAGGAAAGGAAAAGTACGAAAACACTAGAGGCGTCTGCCGTTTTAATTTTCTAACGGGAGGAAGAAGGAAATCCTCCACCAGGGGGCGTTCGCAGTTAGACGGGCAGAAGAATGTGTCGCGACTAGAAATAAACGCTTTTTCCAAGTTGGAATGGAAGTGAAAAAATTTCTATAAATATCGCGATTTCTTTGCTTAATCTTCACCGAGGATAGCGTGACTTGACGACGTCGACCGAGATGGGCGCGATACGCCTACGAGAAATCTGAAGCTAATTCATTCCTGCCTCCAGTCCGCGCGCACGGACAGGAGAAGAAACAGACGTTGTTTGAAATATACAAAATACAAATTAACGACGGGAAATCCTCGTCAACTCGAACACGGATAATTAGGAACCCCGTTAGCTCCTAACCGTACTTTTGTCCCAGCCGGGGATAGAGATTTACGCGTTAAGGAATTCGGTTAGTTCGAAATTTGAAAGAAAATTCTGTCCGAATTTTCGCGGATATTAACTCTTCAATTAACAAAACTCGGCAAATAATTAATAGACAACCCAACTACACCTTAAGTTACTGAGATACTTAAACCTTAGTTTACGTTTATAAAATATCTCAACAACTTAAGGTGTTGTTGGATTGCCTGTTAACTCCACGGTTTAGATTGAACTGCGTACTAAAAGAGAACAACGGACCAAGAACTCTAATCTAGGAACCAATTCCGAGTAGTATCGTTAAGCTAACGAATACGATAAAAACCAGTTTCTATCGGAACCACGTGATTGGCGTTTAATCAACCGCGAAATGCTATTCCGAGCGGTACGTTTCGTTTTCGGTTCCGATAACTAAGCTTTTGTTATCGATCACTCTCCACCTGCCGTTAGGAACGTAACGAAAGTGAAAACACGATTTTACTTCACCAGCAATTGGAGAGAGTTAATAAACTACGTTCTTGTACTGCTTGAAAATAATTACATTAACTATTTATGAATATTGTATGAATAAGTTTTAACAAGAAAGCAATTACATTAAAAGTAAGTAGCTAAAGCGTGAACATTATTTCCGAAATAGGTTACATTCGCGCATGTATAAATTAAAATGATAGTCATATATTGCATATATGTATATTCTAAGCTCTCAGTTACTTTTCGTCATCTTCGTGGGTCTTTTTGTGAGCCGACTCCGTCGGAATTCGGACGGTCGGCTATTTCTTGTCATCTTTTACGGTAAAGGAAGCGTCCAACTTCTCTGTCATTAATTTAGGGCCGTCTTCCATAAAATTAACGAGCATCTAGAACTGGCGACTCTTAGTTCGCTGGCTTCGTTGGCCTTTTTTCGACGTTTTAAAACAAAACTATTTCATTAGCGCCGGTACGCGACAATGCTAAATCCACGCGCTTCGCTTAGAAAATGGCGGGTACAGTCGCGGGACAAAAATACAATGTTAACTAAACTGTGATTGGTTAAGGCGTAATAGCTATCGATAGCGTGGAACCCAGACGCGTCTCGACCGACTACCCTTAGCGAAACCCGCTTAACATGAAGCGCGGAATAGCTATTTATCCAAGGTTCGTTAACTGCCTTTCGCTGAAGAGACTTGTCGAATGTCCCGCGTATCGCTCTGGTTGAGTTATCGGAAGAGCTCGGAATAGGTCCCCTGGGTTCCACGCTATCGATAGCTGTTACGCCTTAACCAATCACAGTTTAGTTAACACTGTATTTTTGTGACGCGACTGCAACCCGCCATTTTCTAAGCCTAGCGCGTGGTTTTAGCATTGTAGCGTAGCAGCGCTAGTTCTGTTTTAAAATGTCGAAGAAAGGTCAACGAAGCCAGCGAACTAAGAGTAGCCAGTTGGAGATGCTCGTCAATTTCATGGAAGACGGCCCTACATTAATGTCGGAGAAGTTAGACGCTTCCTTTACCGTAAAAGGTGGTAAGAAATAGCCGACCGTCCGAATTCCGACGGAGTCGGCTCACAAAAAGACCCAGAAAGATAGCGAAAAGTAACCGATAGCTTTGAATATAAATATCATTTTAATTTATACATGCGCGAATGAAACCTATTTCGGAAATAATGTTCACGCTATAGCTGCTTTAAATTTTAACAAGAAAGAAATTACATTATTCATAAAATATTCATAAATAGTTAAGATTATTATTTTTAAGCAATACAACACAATTTATTAACTCTGTCTCCAATTGTTGGTGAAGTAAAATCGTTCTTACACCAAAAGGCGCCGCGTTGTTTTTACTTTCGTTACGTCGCTAATGGCAGTTGGAGAACGATCGATAACAAAAGCTTAGTTATCGCGCGTGGCTATCGGAACCGAAAACGAAACGTACCGCTCGGAATAGCATTTTCGTTTGGGGGCCGAGGGGGGGAGAAATTAATAAAACGCGTGTGAACGATAATATGTGATATATATCGTCATCGTCTCCCTTGCCGTCTGGACTGCCGAGCGGTAACAATCGACGACGTGTGGAAGCTGTTGAGTCAGAGATAGATGCTTCGTTTACAAACAACACAACCGTTTATTAAACACGAAAGAAGCTTACAAGATTTCCGCGATCTTGGAAGTTCTACGTCGGTTGCCGTCTCTGGGTCTTCCTCTCCTTTCCAAGACAGTCCCATTTTGAAGGAGTGTCCTTTGTTCGCGAATGAACAATTCCATCGACGTCTGGACGACTCCGGACGATGCGGTCGACTTCCGTTGATGGAAAGATGTCGATCGGAGGTCGGGAGATGGAGACGAAGATGGGTGCGAGACACACACACAGCAACAGATCCGTCACTCAGAACTTTCGGAAGAAGAAGCCGTCGCGTCCTCGAATTTCCGGGGTTTTATCCGTTTTCTGTCAGATTCCCCTTTCCGATTGGTCTCTCCTCGTCACCCGATGACAATTCGAAACCTTTCGGGGGCGCGGGAGAGGTCCAACTCGAAGTTTAATCCGATCTCCAACCGGAAATGGTCGACGGACTTACATTCTTCTATTGTTTAAAAGTTAGCGTCGCGTTTTCATATCATAAAAATCTATTTCTAACTACTATATTTCTTTCTCTAAAACAATTATTTTAATGCGAATTTTAGTGAGGGTTCGGACCTGTCCAGAGCCTCACATTCGCAGTTGATTAAACGCCAATCACGTGGTTCCCATAAAAACTGGTTTTTATCGTATTCGTTAACTTAACGATACTACTCGGAATAGGTCCCCAAATCCGGCATTGTTACATTATTCAGATAAGATCGGACCGAAATTGGATTTTGCAGTCGAATCCAAAATTGCAACCGAATTTGAATTTTAAAGCCAGTTTCGGCCTAAGTCGAGACTAAATCTTACACTATTTTTGGTTAAGTTAATACGTTGAATGAGTTGTTAAGACAACCACGCAATACATCTGTATGCTGGCTAATTTCTAGAAGAATATAGTCAATACAGTAGTTTGTTAATCTCAATTTTACTTTTAATAAAATTGTCCTAGTGCAATGTTGCAAGAAGGAATGAAAATTTGTAGAATCATTGACATTAAATTACATTGGAATCGATTTACAGCAGAAATGTTGAACAGTTGCAGTTGGTCGCATTTGGTAAGAAGAGTAGTTACCAATTCAAATGCATCGTTTGCCTTCTTTTGTATGAAATAAAGCACCTAATAAATTTCTAACATTTGATGTAAATAAACGTCGATTGTCGGGTCATTTGCGTCGTTCATATTGCGCGTACAGAGACGAAACTGTAGCTATAATTGGTTCATTTTCACTTTGCATTGCAACGCACGCATCCACGCATCCTGGAATTGTAAACAACATTTGAAATGCAGCATTTGAAAAACACGATTCAAGTTTTTTAATTGTCAGTGTTTTGCAAAAGCTAGATGATTTTTATCATTTGCCAGCCAATTTTTATACCTAATTCTGGCATCATCAGGATGGTTCAGTCCCCAATTTTTAATAGTTCTTACGCAATTTTACAAATTTGACTTTCTCCACTTATTTTTATACGCTCGATCCTTTTTCACGGTTTTTCTCACGCGCGGTTGCTTTGAGATTGTTCAACTTATTTTTTAATTTTCTCAGTTTCTCTTTACCTGGCATTTTAACAAACCCGTAATTTCCCACTTTTCGGTGTTAGGCCGAGACTCCACTACCGTAACGGCATAAAACCCCTGGCCGTAAAAGCTTTTAATCACGTGACCCTGATATTTTACGCCCGAGCGGGTGGTAAAACCAGCGTAAAAGCGAGTGGAGCGGTGTTCGACTTTCGACGCGAATACGGCCTTAAAACTGTACCATCCACCAATCAGAAGTCGATGAAATCTAGGTCATGGCGACACGGTGCGAAAATGGCGGAAAACGAGCTTTTGTGCGCGTTTCCTGGCGGCTACTCTAGAATAGATCTGGAAGAATTTATCGAAAACATCCGAAAGTATTCGTGTATCTATGACAAGAAGTATCCGATTACAATAATGGATGCCTAAAACACGCGATACCGACGACCAAAGGAAAATCCCTCAATTTAGAGGATTATATAATGATAAAAGATAAGCTTAAACGTGCTGTATATTATCTTGATATATATGAAAGTAAAGATATTATTTTTACTACATTTGTAATTATAGTAGAGAAAAAACTCGTAGAATGTAATCATTGTCTTTATAACTTCCCTAGCCGGACCTCCACCGCAATCCAGACGCAGACGCAAATAGGTCACGTGATTAAAAGTTTTTACGGCGAACGTTTTTACGCTAGTGGAGCCTTGACAGTGAACATTTCAAGATGGAACGTTCGAACACGAAGTTTAAATATATAAATTTAAAATACAAAAGACAAAAAATGTAAAATGAAATGAAATATAAATAAGTAACAAACAAAGTAAATAGATATATAATAATACTATACTACTAATAAAAAATATTAAATAGATAAAAGTATTCGAGTTGTATTTTTACGGGATTTCAGCCGTTAATATCTTTACGATATTTCTATATTCATCTTATAATCGTGTGAAAGTCCTGATAGCTTGTATTAAG